GAATATATTTGATTACATTTATTTTTAAACTTGAAATCCATCAAAATCTTTTAAAATTATTCTATTAATTATATCTTTGTAAATTCATTAGTTGTTGAGGATACCTAAATTTAAATAATTTCATTAAAATTCATTAAAATCTCAATTGTGGACACCTAAATTTAGAATGATTTTTAAAATACATCACAATTTCAATTGAAGACACTCCCTAAAACTAGTTATATAATAAGTGGAAATTAGGTCAATACTAAGCGAAAATTGCAGCTGGGATCCCAAATCTTTGAATTTATAGGGTACTTTATCTCAATCTTCATTTTGTACCACCACACCACATATTCAGTTATAGTCCAAATGTATGGAAGTCATCGACTTTTTGGTTAGTTGACTAAGAAAAAAGTATTTGACCATATTTTAATTATTTTAAAGGGATAGAATTGTAACTTTAAAATTTTCTATTATAAACATTTAAGATATTAAATCAAAAAGAAAAAGAAAATGACGTCATCTTCTTCCTCCCCACCCTACCATACCATCGTTGTTGCTGCCTCCAACAAACCACCGCCCCTACCAACCACCACCAGGGGCAGACACAGAAGTTAAAATTTAGGGGGGCACAATCAAATTTGCAAAGAAATTGAGAGAATTTTTACAATAAAAAATTTACGCCCAAAAAAATCATACAACATGTAATTTTGCATCCGAAAATTTATATGGGATATGACTTTTTCAGATGTAAAATTTCTAAAATTTTTTATGTCATATTCCATATAAAATTTCATAATAAAAATATGAAAATTATATTGAGAAATTTGTATTGCAAAAATAATAAATGTTAATGAAATAATTGAATTTTTTTAAAGAAATGCGAGTTAAACATTTTTCTTTAAAACTCACGTTTAACGCATTTTTAACTAGTTTCAATATCTGTTTGGATTATTTGATGTCTATAATATAGTTCTCGAAATAAGATTTGAGATGACATTAGCAATTTGTAGATTTGATTAGGTTACGATCGTCGAAAAATTTTTAAAATCAGCATATTATCGAAATTTTAGAAATATTAATTTTGAACAGCTTACTTTGACAAGTCGTAGCATTTGCTATAATTGATCATTTTGTACGCCATTAACAACGTAGAAAACTAGACCGTGGACACTTCAAAATAATATGAAGAATGTAATATTTCGCCCTTTTTTTTTATGGAGAGTTAAGATTTTATTAAAAGGCGAGAGAAAAATTAAAATTTATTGTGATTTTTCCCTTATTTTTATGGAGATTAAAATCAATTTTTAGTAAATTTTAATAAAA